TGTCGCCCATCGAGCCCAAGCAGGAGCTGCCCAAGTACCTGCCCGCCCTGCAGGGCTGCCGCAGTGTGGAGGAGTTCCAGCGCCTGAACAGGATCGAGGAGGGCACCTACGGGGTGGTGTACAGAGCCAAGGACAAGAAGACCGATGAGATTGTGGCTCTGAAGCGGCTGAAAATGGAGAAGGAGAAGGAAGGCTTTCCGATCACGTCGCTGAGGGAGATCAGCACCATTCTCAAGGCGCAGCACCCCAACATCGTTACGGTCAGGGAGATCGTCGTGGGCAGCAACATGGACAAGATTTACATTGTGATGAACTACGTGGAGCATGACCTCAAGAGCCTGATGGAGACCATGAAGCAGCCTTTCCTGCCAGGGGAGGTGAAGACACTGATGATCCAGCTGCTGTGCGGAGTGAAGCACCTGCACCACAACTGGATCCTGCACCGAGACCTCAAGACCTCCAACCTGCTGCTGAGCCACGCCGGCATCCTCCAGGTGGGCGACTTCGGGCTGGCGCGGGAGTATGGGTCCCCCCTGAAGGCCTACACCCCTGTCGTCGTGACCTTATGGTACCGCGCCCCAGAGCTGCTGCTGGGGGCCAAGGAGTACTCCACGGCCGTGGACATGTGGTCTGTGGGCTGCATCTTCGGGGAGCTGCTGACACAGAAACCGCTGTTCCCAGGGAAGTCGGAGATTGATCAGATCAACAACGTGTTTAAGGACCTGGGGACGCCCAGTGAGAAGATCTGGCCCGGCTACAACCAGCTGCCCGCCGTGAAGAAGATGACCTTCACCGAGTACCCCTACAACAGCCTGCGCAAGCGCTTCGGGGCGCTGCTCTCTGACCAGGGCTTTGACCTCATGAACAAGTTCCTGACCTACTTTCCTGGGCGGAGGGTCAGCGCAGAGGACGGTCTCAAGCACGAGTATTTCCGCGAGACCCCCCTCCCCATCGACCCCTCGATGTTCCCCACGTGGCCCGCCAAGAGTGAACAGCAAAGGGTGAAGCGTGGCACCAGCCCAAGACCCCCCGAGGGAGGCCTCGGCTACCGCCAGCTGGGTGACGATGACCTGAAGGAGACCGGCTTCCACCTCACCACCACCAACCAGGGGGCCTCGGCCACCGGCCCTGGCTTCAGCCTCAAGTTCTGAGGTTCAGAGTGGACCCCAGAAACAGCGGGACCAGGGACCCAGTCCTGCCCGGATGACAGGTTGCTGCGGCCCGGGCTGCGGTGACGTGGCCTCGAGTCGAACTGATGGCCTCGTTTTCCAGATTTTGTTTCTATTTTGTCTTGGCTTGTAACTTTATAGAATTAAACCTTATTTCCTTATGGGAAAAAATAAATAAAAAAATAAATCCAGAACAAGAGATTAAATGAGAAAAAAAATAGGCGGTGAGTACACCCTGTGACCCGTAATCATTGTCGGTGGTCTGCGGGGCACACGCATGCCCAGGGAGGCGGGACAAATGGTAGCATCGCTCTAGCTCAGGGTGGGGAACCTTTTTTCTGCCACAGGCCATTTGGATATGTATAACATCATTTGCAGGCCCTACAAAATTATCAACTTAAAAATCAGCCTGGCCCTGACTGGTTTGGCTCAGTGGATAGAGCGTTGGCCTGCGGACTGAAGGGTCCCAGGTTTGATTCCGGTCAAGGGCATGTACCTTGGTTGTGGGCACATCCCCAGTGGGGGGTGTTCAGGAGGCAGCTGTTTGTCTCTCATTGATGTTTCTAACTCTATCCCTCTCCCTTCCTCTCTGTAAAAACTCAATAAAATATATTGAAAAATATATATATATATACAAATAAGCCCGGCCAGCATGGCTCAGTAGCTGAGCATCGACCTATGAACCAGGAGGTCACAGTTCGCTTCCTGGTCAGGTCATATGCCTGAATTGCAGGCTCAATCCCCAGTGTGGGGTTTGCAGGAGGCAGCCAATCACTCATCTTTGATGTTTCTATCTCTCCCTCTCCCTTCCTCTCTGAAATCAATAAAAATATATATTTTTTAAAAAGACAGCAAATTAATGTGTGGCGTGTACTATATGATACTATTTATATAAAGTTTTAAAACAATAACACCTATATATTGCCTTAACACCACGTGTTGTTTTCAACACTGCTACTACATATTGCTCATGAGTACATACACATATATTAAAAGTATGAAAGCATGCCCTGGCCAGGTAGCTCAATGCTGTCCCATAAACCAAATGGTTGCCAGTTCAAGTCTGTTCAGGGCACATACTTAGATTGCAAGATCTATCCCTTGTGGGAGCACATATGGGAGGCAACCGATTAATGTTTCTCTCTCTTTTCTCCCTTTAAAAGCAGTAAAACATGTCTTAAGTAAGGATTTTTTAAAAATAAAAGTATAGAAACATGTATGTGAATGATAACACACAAATTTCAGGATAAAACTGCCTCAGGAGAAGGAGAGATTAGCAGAGGAATACACAGGAGATTTAATGATATACCAATCCTTATTTCTTTTGGAAAAAGAGTGAGAAAATGAAATACAAAGCAAATATAGCAACATTAGATTTGATAAAGTTTGATAAATGCAAACATGGGTATTTATTTTGTTATTCTCTCTGCTTTCTGTATGCTTGGAATAGTAAATTCATCATCTAAACTCAGCCTGGCCTGCACCCTCTTCACAATCCAGGCTGAGGGATCCCTTCCCCCCACCCCACCTGAGTGCATGAATTTTGTGCACTGGGCCTCTAGTTTAAAATAAAACAAGTGCATGAGATTTCATCACATTATCTCAGTAGGGTGCCGGGTAAGTTGACCAATCCTGGGGAAATTTTATAGCAGTGAACTTGACTTCTTTAGTTCCTAGGGGCTAACAGAAAACCCACAGGACTTAGAGTCCAGAGGCCTGTGTTGAAGTTCCAGGGACTTCTACTACCTAGACAGACATACACAAGTCCCTTCACCTCCACTTTTCTGTTACAGGTAGTTGGGGTTTTTTGTTTTGTTTTGTTTGTATTTTTATTGAGGTAACATTGGTTAATAACATCCTATAAGTTTCAGGTATACGACATTATAATTTGACTAGAGACCAGGTGTGGATTCGTGCACTGGTGGGGTCCCTCGGCCTGGCCTGTGCCCTCTCACAATCCAGGACCCCTTGGGGGATGTTGGAGAGCCAGTTTTGGTCCGATCCCCGCAGGCCAGTATGCATATAAGATCTTTTGGTTAATGTCTTCCCTCCCTCCCCGTCCCCACTCTCCCTTTCCCTTTGAGATTCATCAGTCTGTTCCATGTTTCCATGCCTGTGGTTTCTGCTCCTGCATTGAGCATCTGCCCCTTGGTGGTCAGTGTGCATCATAGCTACCAGACAGTCGGACAGTGGGCTGGTGAGCTGGTCGGCTAATCACTTAGGCTTTTATATATATATATATATATATATATATATAGATAGATATCTGTGTATACCACAGCTTGCTTACCACCACAAAAGTCTAGTTTCTACCCATCACTATATATTTGACCACTTTATCCATATGGCATCTGAAAGCCCTGAGAAAATGTTAAACTGGCCGCCACATCCTATATAATAAAAGGCTAATATGCAAATCGACCAAACAGCTGAACGACTGGTTGTTATGATGTACACTGACCACCAGGGGGCAGGCGCTCAACGCAAGAGCTTCAGTGCTAAAGACCCTTTCGGGGAGCGGGCCTAAGCTGGCAGGCAGACATTCCCTGAGGGTTCCCAGACTGCGAGAGGGTGCAGGCCGGGCTGAGGGACCCCCCCTCCAGTGCATGAATGTCATGCACTGGCCTCTAGTTAGGAATAAAGTAACAAAATATTTTTAAAAAAGAAAGGAAAACTTTGGTAGATGCAACTTACATGGTGATGAGGTTAAGGGTGATAATTATAGTATTATGCATCATAAGTACACATACATATATGTGTATGTGACTTTTTTAAAATTAGATGCATTTAAAAATATATTTTATTGACTTTTAGAGAGAGTAGCTCTAGCCTGCAACCTGGTCATGTGCCCTGACTAGGAATGGAACCAGCCATGAAGTAATTTGATAAACATATTTCCTGAGTTGCTAATGCCACCCCTGGCAATGGGGCTTATTATTCTATTCCCTGGGGCTGTGTCCATTAGCACTTGCTCTGTTGCAAATGCCAGAAAACCCATTTCAAGCAAGCTTAAAGAAAGACATCAACAACAGAGGAACCTGCTTGCTCATAGGAACAAAAGTCCAGCAATGTGGGTGAAGTCCAGTAGAGATTGGCCTAAAGCCTCAAACGCTGGCACCAGCTATAGCTGCATTTCTCAACTGTACACTGTCTCTGAATTTCACCCCCAGGGTACTCCTGGTAGAAGCAGCCTCAGAAACTCAAACCACTGAGTCCACCGGAAGAAAGTGTCTCTTCCTCTCTCTTTTCACTGAAATAGAAGCTTCCAAGAGCCTTATTTGTCTCCTCTCATCACTGGATCGCTGGCATCTACCACGTTGCCTGTGCATGGAATTTGCTCAATAGACCTTCAGTCAGCTATAAATAAATAAACCTCAGTAACGCTAGTGAATTCACTTTCATTTATTTCATTTTTAATTTGTATTTAAAAATAAAGATGTCATTGCCCTGGCCAGTGTGGCTCAGTTGGCTGGGCGTTGGACTGTGCGCCTAAAGGTGGCCAGTTCCATTCCCAGTCAGGGCACATGCCCAGGTTGCAGGCTAGAACTCCTCTCCGTAAAAATCAATAAAAATATATTTAAGTGCATCTAACTTTTTAAAATGTATGTTACATACACATATGTATATGTGCATCATATTTACTTATGATGCACAATACTATAATTATCACCCATAGCCTCATCATCCTGTAAGTTGCATCTACTAATGTTTTCCTTCCTTTTTAAAAAATATTTATTTTTATTTATTTTTAACATATTTTGATTTCAGCGAGGAAGGGAGGAGAGATAGAAACATTAATGATGAGAGAATCATTATTCAGCTGCCTCTTGCATGCCCCCTACTGGGGACCAAGCCCACAACCCGGGCATGTGCCCTAACAGGGAATGAAAACATGACCTCCTGGTTCATAGGGCGACACTCAACCACTAAACCACACCGGCCCTGCTGTTTCCGTTTCTGATGCCTGGTTCTTCCTTTCAGAAATAACCACTACCCTGAATTTTATTTATCATTTTGTTGTCTTTTATTTTAGTTTAAACGTATATTTGTATTGATTTCAGAGCGGAAGGGAGAGGGAGATAGAAACATCAAGGATGAGAGAGAATCATTGACCGACTGCCTCCTGCATGCCTCCTAATGGGGATCAAGCCTGCAACCTGGGTATGTGCCCCAATCAGGAATCAAACCGTGACTGCCTGGTTCATAGGTTGGTGCTCAACCACAGAGCCACTGTGGCCAGGCTCATTTTGTTGTCTTTTTAAAAATTATATATATACTAGAGGCTCTGTGCATGAATTTGTGCACAGGTGGGTCCCTTGGCCAGCAATCAGGGCTGTCTCGACCATTCCCAATCAGGCCGATGGGGACCGGCTGGCCAATGAGGGACCGCGGGAGGGCTCCAGGGCATGTCTGGCCCTCTCACCCAGCCATGATCGGCCAGACCCCAGCAGCAAGCTAACCTACCAGTTGGAGTGTCTGCCCCCTGGTGGTTGAGTGGTCAACCTAACAGTTGACCAATCGGTTGGACACTTAACATTTTATGCTTTTATTATATAGGATATATATGTGAATATATACATATATGTTAATACATACATATATATGTGAACACATACATATATATGTATGTATAAACACATACTATTGATTATACATGTTTTTGAGCTTGTAAAAGTGGTTTCATTTTTAATGTATTCCTCTAGGACTTGCTTCTGTTATTTTTACTCAACATTAGAAGCCATTGTATTATTAAGTATGAACTATACCAGTAGTTGTAAGTTTCTCACTGCTGTATTAAATTCCATTACGTGAATAGATCAAAATTTATTTATGCTCTCTTATGCTTTCTGCCCTCTGTATTCTTTAAACTGCTCGAAAAATAAACAAATGAAATTTAAAAAATATTTTAAAGGCAGCATTGGTTCTGATTGGTTTGAGAACTACTGCTTTAAAGGAAGACCTGCCCTGGTCGGTTGCTCTGTGGTTAGAGCATCAGCCCTTGGACCGGGGGGTCTCGGGTTTGATTCCTGCATGTATCTCGGGTCACGTGTGGGAGGCAACCAATTGCTGTGTCTCTCTCATGCCCATGTTTCTCTACCTTTCTTTCTCTCTCCTCCTCCTCCCTCCTTCCTCCCTTCCACTGTCTCTCTAAAAATCA